GTCCTATACGTGCCACATGATGGCACTCAAGATGATCTGCTCCATAATCTTCCCTGGCACTGACGTCAGGCTGACAGGCCTGTAGTTCCCCGGATCCTCCTTCCGGCCCTTCTTGTAGATGGGCATCACATTTGCTAACCTCCAGTCAACTGGGACCTCCCTGGTTAGCCAGGACTGCTGATAAATGATTGAAAGTGGCGTGGTGAGCACTTCCACCAGCTCCCTCAGTACCCTTGGGTGGATCCCATCTGGTCCCATACAATTATGAGACACTAACTTTAACCAGACTACACATGGTAACAATTACAGTGACTTTGCTTAAAAAAAATTACCAATAATCAGAAGTATGTAGTTTGGCAAATTTAATAGCTAAAATAGTGTACATTTGGGGCAGTTCAGCTACCATTTTTGAGTGAAGATCTGCATCACTTCAACAAGACGGAATGAAATCATGGACCTTAATACTAATGGTTCATATCTCAAGGACTGGAAGAACCTGGGGTATCACTTGTGTAAGATAATCCAGCACCTTTTTCAGCAGTTAGATTTTCACTACTCGTTCTGTTGTGCCAACACAGCAAATTCGAACAGAATGCTCATCCAGGTTGGGAGGAGCAAATGGACAGGATACCTTGCTCGAAATTAGCTTCCTGATGTGGTTCTTTATATACCCACGTAAACAGTAGCTGCACAACAGTGGTACAGGAGGAAGGAGACAAGGAGGCAGCCTGGGAAAAGGTAACCTAACCAAAATATATTCATAGTTCCTCACCAGTATTCATATTCAGCTTAAATGTCTTTCCCGTACTCTATTTCTGCCTGTCTTTACAGGCAAATTTCAAGATGTTTAGGCTAAATGGGATTTTCTAGTCAAGTCTCATGTCCCCTGTTCCTCTGGTGACCTTAGAAGTCTTTGTCTGCATTTGTTCCACTCCCAATAGATGTCTTCGATACAGACATGCAGAACTGCACACAGTATTTCAGGGAAGCAAAGCTGAGATTTTGTAAGTAAAGTAAGATTGACTGGAGTCTGAAAATGGAAGACGGGATGCAAGATCATATATTCAACAATTCACGATGCAAGATATTCATCTAGAACAACTTTGCAGAACCATTAGATACAAAAGACAAAAATTCGCTCTTGAGTCTGACAATAATCAAGACAGATCCCATGAAAAAAGATGACATTTTCCCATGTGCTTAAGAAAGCAATGATGCACTGAATGAACATGTGGGGTTTTTTTTAACAGAGATGATTACCCGTGCTCTACAATTGAATAACCATGCAATATTTATTTATGCTTTTGGGATCTTTCCCTGTCTGACTACAGAGTCAGCTTGATTAACGGGTATGTGTCTAAACCTTTTTACAAGCTTCAGATTTTTCTTCACCTATTATGTATTCTGTTTACATATTTTAATATTAATGCCAAGAAAGGCCCATGAAACATGAGACTTGACAAAAAATTCCAGTATTTTAACATTTAAATTTGACCATAAATAAGGTGAACAATTTTTTTTTTTCTCTCCATATCTTGCAGATTGACTTAGCAATAAACATGAAGGTTTATATTACTGGGACTAAATTGCAGGACTTCATAATCAGTTTTTAATTTGGTGCCTATGCTCCTAAAGTTATGCTGTTCTTCTTTATGTTTCTGCATCAATTAACCACCTCATCTCCCTTCCTGACTAAAGGGCCTATTTCACAATTAATCTTCGATTATCTTCTGTGAAAAGGGCACGTTTGCCAGCATCAGTGATCTCATAAAGCTAAATCAGTGCTTATGGGTATGTAAAATGCCATATAACTTACTACGCATTCACATGCACAAAGCCTTTTTTCAGTTGTTTTTTAGAAAGCCTTTGACATGCTTTATCCACAGATGAAAACGAAGTAACCTTAGTTACAACAAGCACTTTTGTAGACTAATATTTAAAAAATGATAGTAATAACCAAGAAACGATTTACAATCTTTATAGCCCTGACCGTTTAAGGAATCAGATGGTGAAGGGACCTTTTGTCCCATTACAGTGTTCCCCCACGACGGCTGCTGTTTCTGAAACCGTGCTCCCTCAAATACAGGCAACGCTGCAGGAGAGTGCTATCCAACTGCCCCGCTCGGTGAGATTCACAATGCAGTGCCAAACTGCTCATGTTTAATGTGGCATTTCCACTGTATCCAGTTAGAACAGCAGCATCTTAAATCATCTACGGAGATGATTTGATTCCCTACGTGCTACCTTTGTATCTACTTAGAAGCAAGCTGAAGTCAGTGATCAAAACTTCCATTCACTGAGATTAATAATTACAATAATTTTAAACAGCAAAGCACATTACTTTATAACATAGCTTAAAAAAAGAAAGTTACACAAGGCACTAAGTCTTTTAGGCAAATATTTTTCTGAAAGCAAATACTGTAATGAAAGGGGTGTTACAAACAGAACTAATTCTTTTCTAAAGAAATGCCTGTGATTTGTCTCTCAAAAGTGGCGTCTTGAAGTCTAATTATTATTCTCTATGAAAGCACCGTAAAAATAACATCAAAGCCTCTAAACAGAAATAATAGATACTTTTGGCTCTCTGGGGAGTCATGCCTTTTTATTTACCTAATACAAACACAATCAACTCTCCTCCTCAAAAAAGCACTGTGCTTCATCTGTAAGGGCAGCCAAAATTCATTAGAAAATATTTCTGTTGCAATCCAGAATATAATCAGGATATTCTTCCTCGTGCTGACCAACACCCAGTGTATAATATTTTTTCCGCAGCAAAGTGGTTGATCAAAACCCAGTAAAATTATTTTAAGGCTTCATAAATAATTCATGACTGCATTTTACATACAAATTGCCTCTTCCTCCAAGTGAAATATTAAATTTATTTTTCAAGGAAAAAATCAAAGAGATATTTAAAAGTGAACAACAAAACAGTTCTATAATAAATATTTTAAATACACTGGATTTTTTGTAACTGTGCAGTGATACGAATCAATGCAGGAACCCGTATAATTTAGCTGATCTGTTTTTAACCTAAGCAGCAATAGTACACTATCTCAAAAATGAATTAACACTTGTGTAATCAATCACTTGAAGTCTCTCTTGTGATATACGTATATTTTATTTTATTTTTGTAAACAGCTTAATTTAATTTTCTTGGAATCCTTCTCCTCCTTTAATTTCAAATTTAACTTGGCTGTAATTACAAATCTTCTCTGTCGTATGCATAGTAAACCTGTTTCATCTTTGTCACACTGCATATTAAAGTTAGCATATGCAACTTCTTGATATAGACTTTGAAATAATAACCTTTGACAGTTCATCACACTGCAAAATGAACTTTTAAAGGTGACCTAGAAAACCAATAGGAAAATGAAGCTTAATTCAGAAATAAATGGCATATACCTCCAGCAAGTAGGCTGTAGAAGAGAACTATGTTCTGGTTTATCATTACTTCTAGCAATACTTCCTTGCTCCCAAACAACCGCAAATGTGTCGTTCTGCGACATCACTGAATGGACTTCGTACATTTGACTGTATGAGTTCTTCTGGTGGCGTAGGAAACGTATTTCTAATTAAACCTGATTTACATTCAGCTTTTCTAAGACACCCTAACTTATGCCTTACCAAGGCATGGCTTCTGCATGAAATAGCCTTTTGCTGTTCAGGGGTTGGCAGAAATACATGGAAGCCACAGAGGAGGATGCAGTCAGCAAGGAATCACCTCTGCGGGTGATAAAACCACAGGAGGTGGCAGTACCAGTAAAAAAGGAGCGATACAGGTCTAGAAACATTTGTCCTGTCAATCAGCTATTACTGTATTGTACCTTTTTCTTCAATATTAAGGACTTATTTTTGTTTATTCATATTGCTTGGGATTTTGCAAGCCCCATCAGTGCTATGGCAGATTTTAGAACTGGCAAATGAACCTTGACATGAAAGAAGAGAGGCAAACGATAAGGAACAAGTTTTCCTATTGGTCCGGATAGACAGGGTTGCACAGGAGGACTAGGAGTAAAATGTCCTTGCAGGTGAGCTTTTTCGTTTCCACAGCAGGCAAAGTGAGGTATGCAGTGCCTTAAGGATCTACGTATAGCAGCAGTAAAACTTATTTTTACAGTCAAACATAGTTCTGCTAGCCTACGACTTTACAAAGAACGAGACAGCACATTTAGGTTTTGCCAACTGTCTTTCTCTTGATTGCCAGCTTTTGTTTCTCTGTACTCAAACAAATCACAAGTTCACCAAACAGCCAAATGAAATTAACTGAAGACAACACACACATATTCTGAGACAGTTAAGTTACCTTTTGAAGTGGATATATATATTCCAACTTACATCCTCCATTTGCTAAAAAATAAGAGAAAAATGTTGTTGCCGCAGATAACTGATTACAGTCAGGTGAAATTTACTCAGGTCACTGCCATCATTTAGTGAATGCACACTGTAATTTTCTCAGCTGTATTTAATGAAGGTTTTAGTTTATAATCAAATTTACACTGCACTATTTTGCTACCATTTTACTCACAATACTGTTGATTCTAGAGGAAATCAATCATACTTTAAGAAATACGTAAGAAACTTGCTATTAAAGACAATGCACTTGACTACCAACAAAGAAAGGGAAAAGGGTAGAAAAGGGGTTAAAAGCAAAGGGGAACAAAAGGTGAAAAAAAGAAAGGGAAAAAAGAGAATAAAGGGGAAAAAGGAAAGGAAAAAAAAAGAAAAATATAAACCTTGCAAGAGAATTCAAAACATAGTATTTGAATAGAACGATGCAGTAATATTACAAAATAGCAGGTAGAAATTATCTATGCTACTGTTGCAAAGTATCTAATTTGGTTTCTAAGTAACAACCAAGGGAAAACCAGGAGTAACAATATATAATACATCATTTTACTTAAAAAGGACCACATTTGTAAACTTCATACCTTAAAAAAAATCGGTTTCTCTGTGCGTGTGTATGTAAACACACACACAGAGAAATATTTTAACATGCATTTGATTAGCAGCCAAGTATAAAACCAGCACTAATTCTAAACAAAATCAGAATTATTTTAATTATTGTAAGAAATCATAGCAGGAAAATTAATCCTGTAATACAATTTACTTACAAAGAAATACCCTTGAAATGGATAAAAGTAGAATTATGATTTCTAAAAATTATATAATAGATATAAATAAATTAAATGCCTTTTCTAAAAAACATTTATACTGTAATTACGGGGATTTTCCTATTTGCAGGGGACATGAAATGACCACATTAGTTATATGTTAAAAACTCAAGGTCGTCTAAATAGTCTGATTTGCTGCATTGCCCTAAATATTATGCCAAATATTCAACAAAAAAGCCTCATAGTCAAGAAAAAACTCTATTTTCTTTATTTCAGTTATGACACAGAAGATAGAACAGCAGAGGAGAGTGACAAAATTAAATCACCAACAGTATAAAAACTCTGGCATTTGTCACTTTCAGGCACTTTCATAACTCTGAAAATAACATGGTTCAACTGTTTATTTGGAAGGAAAAAATCCCTTCCTTTAGGAATTCAACTTTCTAAAAATTAAGTATGGTTTTAAATGAATCATCATTCATTTTAACTAGAATAGCTACATTATGATGAGCTGGGCCCCAAGGAGAAATAAGCAATCTCAAATCCCATCACAGAATGCTGAAGGCAGTCACACGACAAAAGACCTCTTCAAAATGGTATTTTTAATGAAATACATATAAATCAAGTTTCTCAAGTAGTTTAACAAGTTGCTAATAAATAAAACAGCTGGTAATTTCTAACCATGGGGTTATAAAGAACTTGATTCTCCTAACCTTTCTGGAAGGCACCAGGTTCCTGGCATATACATGGTGTGACTCCTTGGGGAAATAACCCAGCACAGAGACCTGACCTCTGTGAAGCGTCAAACCACTCTGTTTGTGCATGTCATGGAAGCAGCACACAACGGCAATGAAACCAGCTATTAATGGCTTAAGCCACAGGTCAGGATACACAACAGGGTTTGAATGAGGAACGTCATACACAAGCCAAATATACCTTAGCACTGAAGAGAACAGACACCACATCCTTCAAAACCAACACTGACAATTAAATCTAAACAATCTCAGGGCTGTTTTTTTATATCACCAGCTTTCATCAGAGCCTTAATAGCTCTGGCCCTCATCTCGAGCTCCAGAAGCTCCAGCTGCTGCGCTGATGGCTGAACTTCTTCTGACGGTGGAACGGCTAAGGTTGCTGCTTTGGGCTCCTTTGGACTGGACTCTGCCAACCCCAGTATCTCATTCACGCTTTTCTCAATGTCCTTCTGAAGGTCATCTATCTGACCGGCTCCGCTTCTGGCAGTGTTTTCTTGCACATCTGGGACATCTTCTTCATTGCATGGGCCTTCTATGTCACTATCATATGCATCTGCATTTATGCTGAGGACATCGCTATCTTCTCCCTTGCCTGTAACACAAATGTAACAGTCATATAGTCGCCTAACAGAACCATTTTTCTTTCAACTTACAAAATCGCTTCTGCTTAAAGTGTTTCTCTGCAGATTAAGAGAGTGGCAAAAAGATCTGTGAATTTAAGACAACTAATTCCTCTTCTTTTTCTTCTCCAACTTTTAAGGCTGATCTAATTTAGACAAGTGTTAATGCATTTTTATGCCAATTTAGAAGAACATGCAGTATAGCAAAGCAGCAGTACCGGGAAAATTTATTCCATCCTATGGAGTTACATGATCTATTTTCCTAATTAAAATGTCATAAGGTTTTATATCACAAGGAAGCCACTGCAGTGCAAAATCTATTATTGTTTATTATCTTTAAAGTAAACTTAGTTTTCAAAATGCAATTTTAAAAATGACACTTTAAAACTATTTTATGTATTTTAAAAGGAGTGGGACACTATAGTCAGGCACAGTACTAAAAATTAATAGAAACTCCCCTTATAGTGCAACTATTCATAATCTATCACAAGTATTTCAGACGTATTTAACTCAGTAAAAACATGAGGAAAGTTATGGCACTGACTTTTATTGCTGGCTAAAAGTTGGAGTTTATTTAAAAAAAAAAATAATTAGAAGAGGCAGTGTAATAAAATGAAAGCAAAACTCTAACAGAACCTGAGTAACTGTTCTCACAATTTGGCTACAGAGAGACTAAGACTATTGCTTTTGACACACTGGCCTCAGAAATTATTAGTCCTTCACCAACCTTTGTATCTGTGGAAACTTACAGTAGGATTGGTTCCTGCTTAAAATGAACACTTTATAGTCAGATGATGGTAAAGTTACTGATTCTAAAGGCTTTAGAATTGCTTTTGGTAGTACCACTATCCAAAGGTATGGTTGTGTTCCCTGTTAATTAATAATGAGGGTTTAGAGCTAAAGATCTGTGGTTTTGAAATACATATAATTTCTTTCCAAGAAGATTCAAAGAAAGTTTACATTCCTATGTAAGCTACTTTAGTCTATAATAATCCTCTATATATCAAAAATATTCTTCATTTAAGATATATTCAGACAGTATTGCAAACCTTTTTTTAATTTTCTTTAATTCTCCTTTAAAAATATGGGAGAGCATGAAGACAAGGGAGCCAAACTCTTCTCAGTACTGCACACTGACAGGACTAGTGGCAATGGGCAAAAATTAAAACACATGAAATACCATCTGACCACATGTAAAAACTTTTCTGCTGTGAGGGTGGTCAAACACTGGAGCAGGTTCCCCGGAGAAGCTGTGGAGTCTCCATCCTTGCATATACTCAAAACTCAACAGCACATGGTCCTGAGCAACCCACTCGAGCTGACCTGCTTGAGCAGGGGGATTGGGTTCGATGATCCCAAAACAGGCCTTCTAATCCTAACAATTCTGTGGCTCTCTGATTCTTAAAATCAGTATGTTGGCATCTGGCTTTAAAAGGTTCTCTTTCACCAAACTGTTAATTTTCTGGGGAATTGCTGGTTTCATCCATCCATACCTTTGGCTCCCGAACCCCAAATCTGCAGGGGTAGAAGTACTGATTTGCAAAGATTGTTCATCAACAACAAAACAACCAATATGCTGGAAACCCAAGTAAGTACTTCCTTTGCGAATTGTTCTTTTTTAATACCAGGAAATCAGAATCTTACTGACATTCAAACTATAAAAAAAACCCCATTGACAATGCAGACTAACACAGCAGGGACCTATGATTTTAATACCTTTAACTGATTACCTTCCTATCACTGGCTTTTTTGCTCAAGATGCTGACATTTAATATTTTACTGTTGGAAAACTGGAAATATTTTTTTAATAATTCTGCTCAATAAGAATGTTCCTTTAACGTGGCTTTCAGATCCAATACAAACAATTCTCTCCCCTCTCAAAAAAGAATAAAGCATCTTTGAAACGACATTTTTAGAAGTCTTTGTTTTACACTATTAATGTTTCAGTGTCTTTTATTATACAGGAAATATTTTAAAATGCAACAAAAAGAATGTGAGACTTTTCTTGAAAACACAAGCGTGAAGTGTAAAAAACTCGCCATCCACATTAGTGATTTGTATTTTCTTGAGTCTTTCTGCAAACACCTCATGCTAGGTGGAAGTTCTGTACAAAGATTAGCAGTAGAGTATGGATTAGAAAAATTAAATCGTACCTTAGTCAAAATCAGTTTAATCAATCAACCTTAAAAGAGACCACTTTTACTTTTAAAGGAAAAACAAATAAGGCTTTAGAAAAATATTTTTTAAAACACCTTTTGGTACATGAATGCATTTGGTTTTAATTCATGAGCAGTGCAGAAAAACCTTAGGAAAGACCTATTTTTCTTGGGGTTT